TGGTTCCGGGCACAACGGCCGGGAAGAAGTTTGTAAGTTTCCTGGTTCCCCCGGGGCTTTTTTTCCGCGGGGCAGCTTTTGGACGCAGGCACCTTCCGGTAATAATGCTTCTGTTTGTTTTCCCTGGGGCCATAGTGTGCCACTTCTCTGCTGGCGGGTGGACGAGAGTCTGTCTCTAAATGCGCGTCCATCCCGAGCCGGCCGCGCATGCGCCCCCCGTAACCATACATTTAAAGCTGCCGGTTTCTCCCCAACAATGAGGTCTGTGAGCTAATAGTTATCTTTCTTACCTTCAACCAGCCACTTCTGAACACTACACTTAAATTGTTACTAAACCCACAACAGTAAAAATCATTCTGTATATTCAATAAGAGCATTGCTTGTTATACCACTGTGGAGCCTAAGGGGTGATTCCTCTTGCATTGAGGAAAAATTATAGTTGATCCTACGTTTCTGCTCCTTCTCTTGTTCAAATGTCCATGTCTTATCTCTGATAAGACAGACTGAACCGTAGCCATTCTTCATATGCTCAGTTTAGAGTTTAGTGTTTATTGCTAGAGAGAGTTTTTTTTTCTTTGGAGCGTGCATATGATCAAAACAGGGCCAATTAGCACTGTCCAGACAGAAATCAGGGGTTTTGCATCCTCCTAGAGCTGAAAGAAAACTCCTCCTATAAACTGTAACCAGTGCTCTGCTGGACTCTGATATAAGTCCACAAGATGCTCTAACTGCTGATTAGAAAATATATTTAACAGTTTATATTTTACTAATATAATTGCACTTCCTTGTTCTGTGTACTGTGGGAGACCAAATATAGTGAATGCATGGTCCTCGGATTTAGTAGCACTTTATGTAGATATTGTTGAGATTAGAGAAAGAATTGCAACTAGGTCATAAACAGTAAACCTACTAAGTGGGCTAAAGACAAAGGGGTTTATTCACTAAAACCGAAGAATGCAAAATCTGGAGCAGCTGTGCTTGGTAGCCAATCAGCTTCTAACTTCAGCTTGCCCAATTAAGCTTTGCCAAAAACCCTGAAGCTGATTGGTTTCTATGCAGAGTTGCACCAGATTTGGCTCACAGTTTTAGTAAATCAACCCCAAAGTGTTTGATCTTGAGATCGGATGCTGGGGGATAATAATATAAAATTCAGGGAATTTCACAATGTATTAACTCATCTGAATTAACATCTTACATACAAACAGATCTTAAAAGTTTATTGCCTCTGGATTTTATTGATTATGCTCACAGGATTTGATGACCCTAAACACCTTCCAGATTCCAGGGGATGTGCTGGCCTGCATTCATTTTTTCAATATAAATAAAAAAAAGCAAATATTATTGCAGCAAATAAAGATGGTAAGCTTCCTGACCCATATGAGCATATTACACTATATGCCGATGTCAGCCAACACAGGTAAAAAAAGAAAGCAGTTCTCTCATATCCCCAAAATGCTTTGTTACAGCAAAAATGGCTTCTCAACTAAACTGGTGATTACACACTAAGGACAGACTTTGTCCCCACAATCCCTTGACAAGGCCACGAAAACTCTGAAGACTGGCCATTAGTCTCCAAAACTTAAAAAAGAAGGAAACCATAAAACAGTTATATACTTTAGATATCCTTGTAAATCCAAACATGAAAAAAATCAAAAACCACAAAGTCTAGAGCTATATGGTACAAATTGTCCCTTTTGCTGGAAATCAATCATCAATTCATGCCAATAAATAAAAAATCCATCATTGTTCACTTCAAAATCATGGGAATCATCAAGGAAATCATGTGAGATGACATAACTAGTAGAGTAGAACCGGGTGACGTCATTGCATTCTAACAGGAAGAGATTGGAGCTTTACTGGGAGAGCAGTGGTATATGACAATTTTTAATATTGTAATGGTGGGATGAGAATGTACACTGATACCTGGTGGATTTTATAAGGAAAATAAAGTGTTTTACTTCTGAGCACTAAGGGTTGTAGTTAGAGATGAGCGAAGTATTCAAAAATTCGATTCGACTGATTCGGCGAATTCGTGGAAAATATTCGATTCGAGTCGAATATATTCGCTGTGAATTTAACTTAAAAAAGGGTGTTTCTAGGCTTCAGAGAGACTTAATATTAGTGCAGAACACTGTACCTTTAATTTAAATGCCCTTGGAGTCTGCTGGGGAAGAGAAATAATACTGTCAGTCAGTATGACATGCAGATGAGTGCCGTCGATCTTAGAATCACCGCACACTTCACTCATTTGGCCAGTCACGGGGCCAAAACCAGTGTTTGGAGCCACAGTGTGGCGGTGGAGGCAGCAGCAATGGGAGGCCATACAGCAACCTATGACAAAATGGAAACCAGCAGGAGTGTGAGGAGACCTCAAAGTGGCACATGGCAGAGTGGGAGCAATGGGAGGCGGTACAGGGACCCATGTCACACTGTGGACCCAGCAGCAGCGTGACCAGGCGGTACGGGGGCCCATGGCAGATTTGGGGCCTGGCAGCACCTATGGGAGGCCTGTAATCTGCCAGCAACCTATGACAAAATGGAAAACAGCAGGAGTGTGAGGAGACCTCAAAGTGGCACATGGCAGAGTGGGAGCAATGGGAGGCGGTACAGGGACCCATGTCACACTGTGGACCCAGCAGCAGCGTGACCAGGCGGTACGGGGGCCCATGGCAGATTACAGGCCTGGCAGCAGCAATGGGAGGCCCGTAATCTGTCAGCACCCTATGACACAAAAAATGGAACACACCAGCAGTGTGTGAGGAGACCTGAAAGTGGCACATGGCAGAGTGTGGCGATGGAGACAGCAGCAATGGGAGGCCGTACAGGGACCCATGAGAGACTCTGGACCTGGCAGCAGCATGAGGAGGCGGTATAGGGGCCCATGGCAGATTAGGGGCCTGGCAGCAGCTATGGGAGGCCCGTAATCTGCCAGCACCCTATGACAAAAAATGGAACACACCAGCAGTGTGTGAGGAGACCTGAAAGTGGCACATGGCAGAGTGTGGCGATGGAGACAGCAGCAATGGGAGGCCGTACAGGGACCCATGACAGACTCTGGACCTGGCAGCAGCATGAGGAGGCGGTATAGGGGGCCATGGCAGATTAGGGGCCTGGCAGCAGCTATGGGAGGCCCGTAATCTGCCAGCACCCTATGACAAAAAATGGAACACACCAGCAGTGTGTGAGGAGACCTGAAAGTGGCACATGGCAGAGTGTGGCGATGGAGACAGCAGCAATGGGAGGCCGTACAGGGACCCATGACAGACTCTGGACCTGGCAGCAGCATGAGGAGGCGGTATAGGGGCCCATGGCAGATTAGGGGCCTGGCAGCAGCTATGGGAGGCCCGTAATCTGCCAGCACCCCTATGTCAAAAAATTGAACACACCAGCAGTGTGAGGAGACCTGAAAGTGGCACATGGCAGAGTGTGGCGATGGAGACAGCAGCAATGGGAGGCCGTACAGGGACCCATGACAGACTCTGGACTTGGCAGCAGCATGAGGAGGCGGTATAGGGGCCCATGGCAGATTAGGGGCCTGGCAGCAGCTATGGGAGGCCCGTAATCTGCCAGCACCCTATGACAAAAAATGGAACACACCAGCAGTGTGAGGAGACCTGAAAGTGGCACATGTTTGGGGCATGATTCATGGCGGATTTAGTCAGTTGTGTCAGGAACTGGTGGTTTGAAATCCAGACTAATCCACGCCTGATTCATTTTCACAAACGTGAGTCTCTCCACACTTTGGGTGGACAGTCGTGTCCTCCGCGGAGTTGCAATACCTCCTGCCGCACTAAACACGCGCTCCGATGCCACGCTACTGGCCGGCATGACAGCCTTTCAAGGGCAAATTCAGCTAGTTGGGGCCAAAGGTCAAGTTTCGTTGCCCAGTAGTCAAGGGGATTGTCTACCTCGGTTGGCAGGGTGCTGTCCAAGTAGGCCTAAGCCTGTTGTTTGAGGTCCTGCTCCAGGTCCACCTGATGCTGCTGCTGCTGCTGCTGCTGCGGCTGTTATTAGTTTCCTCACTGCGCTGGTGAAGAAAGCTACTCATCATCGACTGCAGACTGAGGCAGCTGCTGCTGGTGGAGCTGCCACTGCTCCTACCACCCCCCACCCCTCCCCTGCTGCCATGGCAGCGTAACGCGAGCGCACAGGGCCCACAGTGTCTGAGGATGGACGTTGGCGCAGACAGGCAGAGACCAGCTGACTACATAGGTGGTTTTTATAGTACGTTATTTTGGCCTCCCTCTCAGCAGGTGTGAAAAAGGCCACCATTTTGGAACGGTAGCGAGGGTCCAACAAGGTGGACAGCCAAAAGTCATCCCTCTGTCTGATGGTTATTATTCGGCTGTCGGTACGCAAGCAAGCGAGCATGCTATGGGCCATTTGTGCCAAGGAATGCGAGGGACTCCCTGCCTCCATCTCCACAGCATACTGCCACGGTGCGTCTGGGTCCTCTGTCTCCTCTTCCTCCTCCTCTACCAGATGCTCCTGCTCCTCCACTCCTGTCCGCTGAGTGGAAAAAACCACCCATTTCACTCAATAATTCCTGAGCACCAATGTCCTCCTCTACCTCCTCCTCTTCTTCCTGTCCTGCCCCCACAGGGGTCATGTGGCGTTGAGATCTGTGCGCCACGTCTACCGCACCCTGACCAGCCATTATTAACAGCATTTGTTCCAGGACGTGCAACAGAGGAATGACGTCGTTCATCCCATAGTCCTGCCGACTCACGAATAGCGTGGCCTCCTCAAAGGGCCTGAGCAAGCGCAGGTGTCACGCATGAGCTGCCAATGGCTGACATCTAAGTTACACAGGGAGTACCTTTATCCGCTTTTAACATCAGGAAATCTGTGATGGCCTTTTGCTGTTCGTAAAGGCGGTCTAACATATGTAGGGTTGAATTCCACCTTGTTGCAACGTCACAGCATGAGGAGTCGGTACGGGGGCCCATGGCAGATTACGGGCCTGGCAGCAGCAATGGGAGGCCCGTAATCTGCCAGCACCCTATGTCAAAAAATTCAACACACCACAGCAGTGTGTGAGGAGACCTGAAAGTGGCACATGGCAGAGTGTGGCGATGGAGACAGCAGCAATGGGAGGCCGTACAGGGACCCATGAGAGACTCTGGACCTGGCAGCAGCATGAGGAGGCGGTATATAGGGGCCCATGGCAGATTAGGGGCCTGGCAGCAGCTATGGGAGGCCCGTAATCTGCCAGCACCCTATGTCAAAAAATTCAACACACCAGCAGTGTGAGGAGACCTGAAAGTGGCACATGGCAGAGTGTGGCGATGGAGACAGCAGCAATGGGAGGCCGTACAGGGACCCATGACAGACTCTGGACTTGGCAGCAGCATGAGGAGGCGGTATATAGGGGCCCATGGCAGATTAGGGGCCTGGCAGCAGCTATGGGAGGCCCGTAATCTGCCAGCACCCTATGTCAAAAAATTCAACACACCAGCAGTGTGTGAGGAGACCTGAAAGTGGCACATGGCAGAGTGTGGCGATGGAGACAGCAGCAATGGGAGGCCGTACAGGGACCCATGAGAGACTCTGGACTGGCAGCAGCATGAGGAGGCGGTATATAGGGGCCCATGGCAGATTAGGGGCCTGGCAGCAGCTATGGGAGGCCCGTAATCTGCCAGCACCCTATGTCAAAAAATTCAACACACCAGCAGTGTGTGAGGAGACCTGAAAGTGGCACATGGCAGAGTGTGGCGATGGAGACAGCAGCAATGGGAGGAGGCCGTACAGGGACCCATGAGAGACTCTGGACTGGCAGCAGCATGAGGAGGCGGTATATAGGGGCCCATGGCAGATTAGGGGCCTGGCAGCAGCTATGGGAGGCCCGTAATCTGCCAGCACCCTATGTCAAAAAATTCAACACACCAGCAGTGTGTGAGGAGACCTGAAAGTGGCACATGGCAGAGTGTGGCGATGGAGACAGCAGCAATGGGAGGCCGTACAGGGACCCATGAGAGACTCTGGACCTGGCAGCAGCATGAGGAGGCGGTATATAGGGGCCCATGGCAGATTAGGGGCACTGGCAGCAGCTATAGGGAGGCCCAGTAATCTGCCACCACCCTATGTCAAAAAAATTCAACACACCAGCATGAGTGAGGCGAACCTGAAAGTGCAGCACATGGCAGAAGTGTCAGCAATGTGGCGAATTCAGACACAGCAGCAGTGTGGAGGCCTGTACAGGGCCCATGGCAGAGAGACAGCAGCTGGACCTGGCAGCAGCATGAGGAGGCGGTATAGGGGCCCATGGCAGATTAGGGGCCTGGCAGCAGCTATAGGAGGCCCCGTAATCTGCCAGCACCCTATGTCAAAAAATTCAACACACCCACAGTGTGTGGAGGAGACCTGAAAAGTGGCACATGGCAGAGTGTGGGCGATGGAGACAGCAGCAGATGGGAGGCCGTACAGGGACCCATGAGAGACTACTGGACCTGGC